TAATGTATACATCTCGTAGGTAGCCTACCTGGTTCGCAGCGGAGCGGCAAATTACGATTGTCTTGGCCGTCTCCTCTTTCAAAACACGAGCCGCAGCGTTAAGCAGTAACTGTTATACTGAAACAACTTCGAAGCATCAATCTTTGGCTCTGTCATTTTTGGCATTTCCAAAATGGCGCATTAAGCACGGACATCACTTCTTTGGTCCACGCTCAATCCCCACAACATCCAATAAATCTTCCTACATGGCGCTCCATGCCCTGAAATACTTTCCCTGTGTGTTTCTTTCCCGATTTTTTTTTCGAAATCTACGGCGCCCTCTAGGATCTATTTCGTAAATGATGATAAATGACCGCCTTATTTTCAGACTGGTTTGTACATTTACATAAATATCTACTGGTTAGGAATGTCATCGACGGTGTTCAACCCAATCATCTATTATTTCATGAACAAAAGGTTGGCTCCGGATTTTCGACCTAATTTTCGCCAATGTTATAAAAGGGGATTTCTATTCTGTTAGACTGCGCTCATACTTTGCGGCAGTGTTCACCAGCTGCCACACGTTCCGAGCGTCTGACAGCGACACCGTCTAGAAAAGTATAGATATCGATCTATCGATATAGCGTTTACCAGCGTCCAGGAGTACGGTATTATGTAGCAGTACGTAAGGCTGCGCACGCCACAATTTACCGACGACAATTTCAGTTGTCTCCACTCTCCTATTTCCCCCATACTCTCTAATCCTGGTCGCCGTTGGACGCTGGTAGACGCTAGCGGACGCTATCCATACTTTGATAGTCCCTCAAAATGCTGATGATCGCTGGCGGCCACTGCTGGCCGCTGCCAATCGCTAGATCGATAGCTATACTTTTGTAGTCGCTGCCGTTCACGGCCGCTCCGATCGCTGATGGTTACTGGTGGACGCTGCCGCAAAGTATGAACGCAACCTCAGGCGTATGGCTGTTTGAACTCACTGGAAGTCTGCTCTAAACGTTTTTCAGATTCCGAGTTGGTTTCCGACATGCATTCCGATGGTTACCCTGCATGCATGAAAACCGAAGCGAATATTTGTCGATTCTGTCAAGCAACGGGAGAGCTTCGTATACGCTGGGACGGAGTATGCGCACCGACGTACTGTTCACAGCCTAGATCCGTTACATTTCGCAAACAGCGCAACCTTACCATCGCTGGGTTCATCTATCGCGTCCTGATGTTGTGTGATCAACTACACACGCCGCGTGTTCACGAGTCATGCCAGAATGCAAAACTGTTGGAGCTATCTTGGCAGGTGTCCATCTAATTCAATGTTGTTTCTCATTGATACCGTCTTTTACTTCCAGTCCCTGAACTTCATGGTGGAGCTTTCATAGCAACACTACTTTTAACATTTTGAGTGTGCCTTCGAGTGTAACTCAGGTCGTCAAAGTTGATGCAACGAGCAGTAACCATGTAGCTCAGCTCGAACAACATTTCATGGATATTTGGCTCGGTTAAGTATCGGGTGGGCCCATAAGTAATGACGTTTTTCCTACATCAAATTAAGAATGAAAGATGGGAGGATTGCCCAATGTATTCTATGCAGTTCGATAGACGATTTCCTGCTTTACCAAGACATATGCTCAATTCTATTTTCCCTCTACTTTTGTCCATTTTCAGTACATCAAAATGGAATGTCGAGTCAGCATAATGAGATTTTATTGACACCACCTTTTTGCACTTAATCTATGCAATTAAGTTGCAGAAGCAGCTCGAAGCTTGTGATGTGATCGCTCGGGAAACGATGCCTCCCGGGACCAGCTTTAGTTGGTTGAGACCATTTACAGATGGGTATTCCAACCTTATAAATGTGCATCGTGTAGGGCGCCCTTTTGAAAGCGTGATTGCCGCTAGATCCCGCACAATCGCGTTGTTTTTGGGAATTATTGCCCATTACGAACTGAACGAGGCCATGTGGGAACGGGGAAACATTACTGGTGGGCCTTTCTCCTATTCCATTCTTTGGTACGGACTTCCATGATACGCGAATTGAGCTAATTCAATGAACTTCTAATCGAACTCGAAAAGGCATCCGGTGCTTCACAAGATATCAGAACTATCTCTCGAGCGTTCAAATCGTTTTGTGTCTTCCAAAGAGGCATCGCTTTTTGACCACATACTCAACAAAGAGGACCCTGCGGATTCGCCTTCTAAATTAAATGGAAAAAGGAGAGGTGTTGAAAATTGCTGCGGATTTCCTCGACCTGAAATTCCACCCTCGTAACACTCGAAATTAGTTAAAATACTGTCCCTAAAACAACTAAAGCGGTAACTACAGCAAGGAAATTTTTATCGGAGCGTCTAGAAAACATTGGCAGACCCTCTTATCTTAGGCAAAAAAAAATTTTATGTGAAAAAAATGTCATTACTCATGGATCTTTTAACCTAACAATGAAGACCTGGACTCCCATGGGGTCTAAATGTTGATCATACCAAAAAGATAACATGATGACTGGGGGAAGTTGATGTGTTTCAGTTGTTGTTGTGTGTTCTATATTGTTCGAGTTTACTTGCTGTTGAAATAATAAAAGATACGGATAAAGTCTTCGCTGTTGATCATCCCTCTCTGGAATGCGGCATGCATACTACTTCCATTCAGAATCTTTACGCGACTGAATGCGATGTGGCCTATATCATGACTTACTGGGGGCCAGCTCATGTACAGGTTGGTGTTCGCATCCCAGACGAATCTGATACCAATTCTTCGTCCCCAGGGGAGAAAGCTCGGTTGTCTGGACTGGAGCCGATCCGGTATTTGATCCTTGAACTCTGCGTGTCGTATGCGTGCCACTTGCCACTACACTACCTCCGCCTTGTTAACATCACATAACCTATTAAATTTACAAGTGTATGCAGGGGAACTCTGACTCAAGGAGGACGCGTCACTGCCGTTATTTCAAGATACATTGATAACTGATGGCTGCATTGCTATAAAATGCAACAAAAGCGCAGGGCAAAAATCGCCGGTAAACGTTGAGCCTCGCATCCGCTAAATCATGTTTTTATACGCTATATTTACTAGGGCAGTCCTTTCGGAATTTTCGCGCAATTCAAGGCTTGAAACTTGATCGAAGATTTTGAATTGTAAGCTATCCGCCGCAACGCACTCTCTCACTAAGGCTGGGTCGAGAGAACTATGCTAGTGAGAAAGTTCATCTCGCTCAAGCTCAAGCGCTCATTGAGCGCAGCTCGATATAGCTTGAGCATTCCACTGGTTTTCATCAAAATGCCTCCTGTGAAGAAAAGTG